TTAGCAAAAATGCAAAATAATTCTGCTGTGGAAGTATCTGAGTCGATATTTTATGAAACTAATTAATTAAATTTGAGAATAATTATAGTTTTGAGAATAATTATAGTCACAGTTTATGTGAGGATTTTTGTTCTTGCAACATTCGCATAAATTTAGGCTAATTTTTTTAAATTAATGCAGAGAAAGGGAAAAAGCCTTTAATTGTTGTCAGACGTTTTTATTTCCAAACACGTCGTTTCGACACGATTTAGTTTTTCATTCACACTTGAAATAATGACCGGTTTCAAAAAATGCAAAATCACTTTTCGCAATGAAATAAAAGTCTCTATCACTGTCTTAATCCCTATGTATCCCGAGGAACTTAGATTTACTTAAGCTAAAGAGGTAATGATGGCTTGTACTTTCGAGCTTGCACTAAGGGACACAAACCATTACATCTGCGGCGTTCATTGGGATGCTGATAACTTCGTTTATGACTGTGAACTGAAAAGCAGTATCAGCAAAGAAAACCTGTACCTCAGTACGCCAAGTCCAATGATTCCAAAAAAGTAATAACGAAACTTAAGGCACTTCACCGATTAGTGGCCATGATAAATTACTAGTTGTACGGGCTATAACCAGCTTAACAAATTAAACCTGGTTAAATAATATTGATACTATACCGTCCACCAATTACACTGACGAGCCAAAACATTATGACCATCATCACATTTTTTAATCAACTCCTCTGGATGACGCGAAGGGCATATGATTAAGGGGAATGATGATTAACTGCTGCTGGGGAGAAAGTAAAGAATCATTCTTGCAGTTAGGTTTGCTAGTGATTGGAAAGGCGGCTGATCTAAGCGAATTTGATAGATTGCAGATTGTATGGCTCGAAGAATCGGAACGAGTATCTTCAAAACTGCAGGACACTGACGAGCCAAAACATTATGACCATCATCACATTTTTTAATCAACTCCTCTGGATGACGCGAAGGGCATGTGATTAAGGGGAATGATGATTAACTGCTGCTGGGGAGAAAGTAAAGAATCATTCTTGCAGTTAGGTTTGCTAGTGATTGGAAAGGCGGCTGATCTAAGCGAATTTGATAGATTGCAGATTGTATGGCTCGAAGAATCGGAACGAGTATCTTCAAAACTGCAGGACTGATAGGTTGTTCACGATCTGTCGTTTTTAGTTGATATGTTTGTATTTATACAGAGTGGATAAATGACAGTGAAACCAGCAGTAGACGCAAAGATGTTGGACATCTACACGTCATCAAAGGGAAAGGGCGTCGGAGACTGTCCCACTTGGTACAGCAAAATCGGTTTTCTAGTGGATCAGAATGCTATCCGATGTCAAGATGAAATTCTTTGTCTGCATTTTCGTTTATCTATTGCTGTTATAAGCCCGTACTTTATATACATGTGTGATAAAATTCATCAGTACATAGTGCCCACGACTGAGAGATAATTACTGAGTGAAATAATTTTTCTTATGCTGGATAAATCCCTAGATCCGAATGCCATACAGCACGTATGAAGTTACGTATCTTATGAAAGTATATTGCAAGTCACAGCGTATTCTGTCTTCCCGCCGAGTTTTGATTGATTCTCTTCAAAAATGGACATTACGCACACGGTCAGAAGTGTCATCGTAAACATAAACCTTCTCCGTGAAGCCCAGATATTAGATCCAGTCATCATACACTTTTTACACAAAAGTGGTTTTGATATTTCAACGCAGTTTTTCGCCTAAAGTGTAAAAGCCATAAACCAATGTTTTTAATTATTACTATTAGTAGTATTAGTATTAGTACTTTTGTGTGTGTGTCCGGAATAATTTTTCCGTGGACACTTATTTCGTAAATCTCATTCAAATCCTTAGAATAATTATTTATTTCTCTCACAAAAACATACCTTTTTCTTGTTTTTTGAGGAGTGTCGTGTATCTTCCTACCAGTAAGAATCAAGTTCACCTTTTGAATACCCGCAATCCTTCTCTTAATATATGATCTTTCTGCCCGTTCTCCCCCCAAAAAGAAACATCTACTTCCACGTTTCGTTTTCTTTTCTGAACTTTATTTTACATATAACAGAGCATTTCTCTATAAGTTATTTAATTTGCATTCTAATAAGTAGAGCTGCCCTTGTTTCTTCGTCATAGTCATAGTTTTAACTATTATTCTGCGTCATTATTTTGCAAAATGTAATGCAGTGTTATTTTATTCAAATCGGGAATGAGATTATGATTGAAAAGATTAGATATTATATGAAAAACGTATGTGAATAAAACTTAATTTTGACAAAAGTTTTAAATTTTTTTATGCAAATAAATCTCTCCCAAATTAAAAACATTCATAAAAATTACTTAAATTTTAAACTGTATTAACTGTTTGCCTAGTGCAGCGTAATAATTCATTTTTATACGTAAGTATTAAATAGATGGATAATAAATAAAATCTCCCGTTAGCAATTTAAATATTGCACTATAATGGCACAAATATGCTTCAAATTTTTCAAGAGGATTATTTTAATATGATCCCTGTTATGAGTTAAATTTTTTATGGCTTATTTTACCAGCTGTTTCAAGGACTAATATTGCTACAGGATTTAATTAATTATCCTCGCGCGTTTACTTACATCTCGGTTGCATTTCGTAATTATTATGATTGACAGGATGGCCATAAAGCAATCAAAATCAGTTAATAGTATGATAATGGTAACGGTAATTGTAATAATTTGGTAATGATAATGATAATAGCGAATAATTATAAAAAAGTTTAACATTTGAAATTAGCGCTTTCCTTTCAACGAAGTAATTAATCGCTCATACAAATCTCTCTTAGTCCCTCAAATAATCAATAAATCTCTTCCATTAATCATGAAATGAATCTACCTTACAACAAAACATAATTTCTTCGTACTAATTCAAAGACATTACTTTAAAATTACAATGATAATGTTCTTAGCTTAACACCCTAGCATTGATTTAAAATTAAATATAAGGCAGTGGCAAAGTGTTATCTTAAAATGAACGAACAGTCACAAAACACTGATGAAAAGGCATTTATCACTGAAATTCAAGTGTAAAAAAAAAAAAAAAAAAAAAAAAAAAAGTAGCCTGCCATCATCATATGTATAACTACGGGACTTTCCGCTGTCCTTAGATCTAGGACTTTCCGCTGTCACCCTTTCACCGATAGGACAATCCGCCAGCAGCTGATTCGCCGTGGACTATTTCATCGTCAAGCAAAAATGGAATATGTAGCAAAGGTTGCTTGTAATATGTATAATTACTTGTTTACAAATATGATATAAAGTATAACAGGAGTATATTTACAGGGCTACAGTTTGGAAGGTTAAAAAAAATCTTCCTCCTCAGTTGCGGGAAGGAAAATGGTGAAAAAGGAATATGTACCTACTGGATGACGCAATTTCGACTTTCATTATACTTAATAAATTCAGTCGACTCTTGGTGTATTTAAATCAAACTGAAGACATTTAATGATATAACATTCACACGTAAAACATTTAGTAATAATTCAGAAATACAGATAAGCATAAAATAATAATTATAACTGTTACAGGCCAGCTACGATTTTAGCGACCGAATCCTACGAACGACAAATCTCAAAAGCGTGTTGCCAACGCAGGGCAACGAAAAGGTAGAAATTAATTCGACAGGCGTGGAAGTGAACACCTACCTACACGAGAACAATAGACAAAACTTCTAGAAGTTAAATGATAGAAGACGATACTACTGCTGTCATCTATTGACCAAAAATGTAAACGAAAAGCAGCTATGAAGCAGCTTCTTGTAAAGTTAACGCAAAGAGAGTTCAGAATCGGGATTATTCAACAGTACCGAAGAACTTTTTAAGGATGTAAAGCGCCTCTATAAAGTCTAATTCGTCAGCAGAAGATTTTTTTCAAAAATAATTTTGGCTGCAGGTAAACGGAAAATGTGATTCTTTGACCAGTAATGATAGGCAGTGCAGCTTCCCTCCTTCTTCTTCCAAACATAAGTGGCATGCTCTTTAGTGTAATATTTTAAAGCTCTTTTTATTTGACCAGTGTATATTAAGTCACAATGGCGGGGAATGTTATAGATATCCCAGGAGCTGATATTTGGAAAATGAGGTTTTTAAGCACCAGACTTCGAATTTTATTAATAAGAGAAATGAAGACATGAATGTTAAACTCATATAAAATACGCGTAATTTTATGATTAATCTTTAGAATGAAAGAAGTTACTACTGAATTGAAAGTTTATTTTATTTATTTTATGCTGAAATGAAAAAGTTTTAACCCCTTGGTTATTAGCACGACGCTTGGTCAATAATACGAGAAGTCTTTGTCATTTACATTTGCTCTTAAACAACTACTGAGCTGACTTCGAGCAACAGACTTGGAGGGCACGGAAACCGAAAAAAGAAAATAAAACCGACTTTTATTTAGCAGAATCACAAGATTTGAAAGTTTACACTACACAGTAATGTTGAAGTTACATTTGCTCCACGTCACCAGGACCTAGGCACCGTAAGGGGATTGGATGTCTCGAATTCAGAATTCAAAGTGAAATGGATAGCCATTATCAGGTAATCCTTTTTTATTATGGGATTTCAAGAATTTGTTTCTTTGCTTTTCGTTCGCTTTTCCGTAAATAGATGGCGCCAGTACCTTCGTTTTTTATCATTTAGCAAGGACCTTCCTGAAAATTTCTTTATTGTTCTCGTGTAAGCGCATCCTTCCTTTATGTCATTTTCACTTCCACAGCTGAAGATGAGGTTATATTTCACCTTTAGAACTACAGTCCTACAAATTTACTCCCTTAAGTCAATTCCTATAACTGGTTATTAGTCTCTTTAACATTTAATTTTTCGATGTGTTATTTTTGTTATGCCGTAAGTCTTATTGGTGGTGTGTATTGATCTTCAATCTGAAGAGCTGACTTTTCACTGACTCTACTTCATTTCTCCTTGTCAAGTCGTGTAGCTATATTTGTGACTTACCCATCAAACTTTATGTTATTGCTGGCAGGCTAGATGTACCCAGGTTGAGCCCACACAACATTGCATTTACTCCCTAAAAAGTAATCAGAATAGATTCAGGTAGAATACAAGAGGTATTATAAAATTTCACATAACGATGATTACTTTTTTTACTAAAATTAGTTCAGAACATGCAATTAAAATATAATATACGAGATGCTGTAGTTTTTGAGGAAAATGACACCAGTCAACTTATTGATTATGGTCAAAGTGGTACCAGATGTGACAACCATGCGGATAGCAGATGTCTTCAACTCTTAGAAGAACCACAAAATCCTTGAATGATCAAAATATATCTTTATTACTTGACGATTATGCTGCTCATGCATCATATTGAATAGCACAGCATATTGGGGGCAATCTGCTCCCCAAAATTTTTAAATACGCACTCATATTTTTTTAAACAATAGTGAAAGAAGGTGAAGCGAGAAACCTGGTTTATTCAAGCAGCGGCAGGCGAGAAAAAGGCGATGCATGCTAACTGTGGTCGCATTTATAAGCCGGAAAGTCTTTATTTTAATCTTGAGAAATGATTTCTACTGCAATATTTAAGTTATTTTTCCGTTACTTTACGCTAGAATTTTCATAAAAGTAGCGTCAGTGTCTATTTCTAAAATCCAGATTGAATTACTCTGTTAAGTTCTGCTGGGCTTCTGGAATACGAGAAAAATTCTTTCCCCAAATTATGTAAAATTGCCTTCGATTACTTATGAAATTCCGACAATAATTTCGATGCCGAACGATTCTTTATTATTTTTTTTAATGAATTGTTTAATGAAGAAAACCTTTCTATGTATCAGGATGTATGAACACGATATCCAGTTAATTGGTAACCTTGAAATAATAGATAACGATGCTGAACATGTTTCAAGGATATGCTTGATTTATAAATATAAATCAAAAATTAAAAAATATATTTTTTACTAATAGTTTACAGACTCGTTACACTACTTACTATTTTAGTTTACCTTTTGCGAGAGTTACTTTAAAGACTGCTTGTTTGAGTTATATCCCTCCTTGAAATGTTAATATAATTTCTCGACCGTGAAATAATTACTGTAAATCCCAGGCTGCAGAAGGTTCAAGAATTTTCACAAGTGAATCTGTGGCAATCCTGTGAGTTTTTTATTGCGAATAAAATTACTTGCTATCATTGGGGTGCTTTTGTGTAGTTCGATGCGAGGTACGTTTTATTTATTTGATTATGGCAAAGAATTTGAGGATATCTGCCTAAGGGAAGGGATGCTTTCGTGAAGGAATCTCTGGGAAAACTCTCGTATCCAATTTGCGCATGGGAAAAACCACGGATCTACCCATTCAGCCAGCCTGTTCGCCTGGAATCGAATCCAAGTCGAACTACTAATGTTAGCGGACTTTATCGCTCGGTCGTCGCTGGAGGGTCGTCGAGAGGCAGGTATTTAAAACGGACTCTATAAATATTATTTGTCTTCTTTCATTAATCAAAAAGGTCCATTAAAATATTTACGCAAACTTTTTAATTTATTACTATTTAAGGCATTTACTTCATAATTATATTTTTAATTAGAATTCATACTTTTGATTAAATTTCCTGGTTGCCATATATAACGGCTTTGACACATTTTAATTAAATTGTCTCAGTTTTTAACTTGTAACTCAAATATGATATAAACCGAGCAATATTAGAGCGACAGATTTTATTCATAACAAATCACTTTTAAAAATCCTATCGGGTTCACTTAAAATTTTTACGTGATGCCTGCTGTGCACGCCGCACCCTCGGCGCGCCTTTGAAACTGCCTGTAAGTTGCAATTTCGGTTATGTCAAAATGGCTGTCAGCCACCCAGCGGGAAGTGATTTAGATGATATCTAGCGGCTTCGAATAGCCCTGTTACATGATCAATACTAATAAAACAAGCTTTATTTAGGAACTTTTATGAAATATAGTTCCTATTTTGAGTGAAGCTCTTTTTTTAAAAAAAAAAAAGATAGTACCATTTCCAGCTTCCTACTGAGGTATCTTTGACGTGTTAGTCCTAAAAACAGATTATCAAATGAAAGGGGTAAAGGCTGTTAGTGAAATGAAGATGGAGAAAGAAAAGAAAAAAGAATGAAAAGAAGTGCGTGTTTCTGATGACCTTGGTGCAGTTTATCTAGAATATCGGTTGACTTCCGGTGTACTGTCTTGATCTGAGAGAGGACTCAAGGAAAAGCGATCATTTTACAAATCGTTTCCTGTCGTTTACTTACTTCTTCCATTTACTTCAGTTCGCTCTATGCGAGGTGCGATCGGCATATCAGAGAATTGATACTACTAAATCATATCGTTTAAAAACGCTTTCTAAACCCAAAACGTCTACTTCTAAATAGGGAGAAATTCCGTAAAAATATCTGTTCTATGATTTGTCATTCCTGCACCAACCTAAACTCTCTTTAAACGGAAGTTAGTTAAGGAGGAATTATTGTTGAAAATCAACATACCATTTATCGTGAAGAATTATACTGTGTATATTAGACTGATACCATATGTAGCTTTACATCAATAGAAGATGCACGTGAGAATTCACAAATACTCAAAAACCGAAAATAGCTGTTTAAATAATTTTTAGGTTTGAAGTCGACTGAAATTCGCATTTTTTAATTAATGTGGTCATTTTATACTGTTAGGCTATTGACATTAAAATACTTACCCATTAATTAGTAACTATAAAAGACTGCCGGACAACTTTGCGTCTCGTCTGATTTCTTGCCTTCAAATATCACAACCAAAGTAAAAAACAAATAAAAAATAACTATTAAATACGTCGACCTGATGATTACAGAAACTTTCAATTAGTAGAAACAGAACTCCGCTAATTTAAAGGTAGAAAAACTGCTTTCAACACAAATTTTAGTTAAATCGAATATAGAATACAATATTAAAAAAGCCGAATGTAAACCTTAACTTCGCTTGATTAAGCGCTCGCGAAAAATCGCAGCAGGTATAACTTTACCTGTAAGCTGGTTGGAAAATAGCAGAACTCCGGGTAGAGTAACAGCCAATCTCAGCTGCCAAACTCGTTCCGGCAAATAATGTCTAAGAGACCGGTAACTTTGGAGAGTAGGTAATGTATTCCTCTGAGAAGGAAACATCAAGAGGACAGAAAAACAGGAGACCATTTAATCCATATGAAGCACCAATGGCAGATATTTCTAAGCATCCCAAATGGAGTCCTAGGAACCAAGTTTGGTTTATTTGATTATGGCAACGCACTTGAGGGCTAACAACAACAACAACCTTTGGGCATTCCCTGTTCCGTGAAACTGATCACACTGCAGGTCCCCCCACTCCATAGAACCAGACGCGGAGGTTCAACCCCCGCTCTGGCCCTCAGAGAGAGAGGCGCACCGCCCAGGAGAAATCCCCCAGACGACACTGGTCGTTAATTTGCTACCTACCAATCGCTCGGATCAAGGATCAAGGAAGTTAATTTACGGAGTGCGCTAGGCTAGGCCTTTAACTCCACATCATCAGAGATAGAATAATTACATCAAAAGAGGGGTTCATCTAATAAGGGAAGATTTTGAAGCCTAATTATAAAAATAAAAGCTTTTCAGATAATGCCTTCCGCATGAGAAAAAAAGGAAAACTCTTAGAAATTCTTTAAATTAAATTTTGTGTTTAAAAAGGGCCAGGAATAAATTTTGAGAGAGGAGTCAACATTCAAAAAGTTTTGAAAAGAATAAAAAGGTGCAATACATTTCCTTGATTCTTGATATCAACAGCAAAATAAAATCCTTAGGACAAGCAATCCGGAGAGTTGGGCAAAAAGGGCTGGGGGCGAAACCCGTTGGGCGGGTTCTAGTAGCAGTTCAGTGTGATACACTGAAGGAGGAGAAGAAAATTATTGCTCGCTATTTAGTGCGACGTTAAAAGGTCCCCTTAGGGGGTCGAAAGCAACCCGTTTAGCGGGTGGAGAAGAAGCTTTTAAGAAGCTATTGAGAAATTAAGTGCAGTCGCGTGCGGCTGCGGAGATAGGTTGTCCCTTGTTAAAGAAACGTTAGAAGGCTCTTCTTAAAGAGTTAAAGAACAGGATTCCTCCGGTCAATGCCCTTACGCATTGTTAACGCGGCGGCGGTTGGGGTTTAGGAACGAGAGGTAAGCATCCACTTGGGCATCTGTATTCCAATACCGACGCCGTTTAAAAGGTAGTTGAGCATAATCAGGTTGTAAGATTGCTCTGGGTCGCTTTTTAGAAGAGGCAACCGCAGGATCATATACCGGCAGGGTATGTAATACTGGATTTCCAACAAGATGGATGTTTGCCCGTCGCAGTGGGACATTATCCAGCAAGCCCGGAGATGTTCCCCTCCCGGGCTACTAGTGCCACGCCGCGCTAGGACGTGCCAGACCACGAGGCCGGCCAATAAGTTATCTTTCCCAGGGCCATCAGAACCACCAAGTTCATAAATTTTATACCCCGATGGCCGAGACTGCCTAGGTACAGATCCTAGCCAGTTGCTACGTCGACCCCCGGGGGGAACTTCAAGGCTAAGAGGAGATAGCCTTCGTGGAGGACTTTCTAAGGGAAATGGCTAATATACACGTTACACATGGGGAAAACCATGGAAACGCCCTTGCAGCTAACCCGTTCGCTGGGCGAGTCCCGGATCAAACTACTACTGTTCAGCGACTTTACCGCTCGGCTGCGGTGGACCCTAGGAACAAGAGAGAAGTGAGATTCACACCCAGTGACAGTAGTAATTTTTAATAGTATTTTAATAGTAGTAAATTTTAAATGAAAGATGACTTGGTGCTTTTTACAATATAATAATGTAAAATTGAGCTTGCTACTGAGCGAAGCTTTGGCTTTACTACTGAGCAAGCATAATGTATTAACTTTAAAAGTATAACTAAGGATGTTTGCTTTTAACCACGAGGTTCTTCTTTGAAAAAAAGAGAGAGAGAGTGAGAAAGAGAGAGAGAAAGAAAAGAAACCAGAGGAAAGGGGTGAGCGCTCTGCGAAGAAACTGGATTTCGAAGAACGTAAATTATATAATAATAACAAGTTGCA